GAATGGGGCGACCCCTGTGAAAGGGTCGTTGGAACCCCAAAGGGTTCTCAACGAGGCAGTTATTTGATGAGTCCCTATTAAGTCGGAATCGACTTGATGGCATGAGGAGGTTTTGTTGTTGCTATTCAATTCGGAGCAGCAAAGTCAGCAGGAGTGTGAAGCAGGGAGAAGCTGCACGGATGGCCGAGGCCAGGGACAGGCTGGGCTCCTGAGCACCAGGGTCCCCAGCTGCTCCCAACTCCTGGTACTCAGGCTGCGGGCAGCTCCGCCCCCGTAGCCCCACCCCCGTAGCCCCGCCCCGCGCTGGCCCCGCCCTGGCTGTTAGTGGCTTGGAAGGCCCGCCCCGCCCCGGCGCGCGCCGCCCGAGCTCAGGCCCCGCCTCCCGCCCCTTACCCTCGACCCTCGGACCGGTCGGGATCCGAGCGACCGTACTCTGCAGACTCCAGCTTGGACCTACGAGGGCTCACACACCATGGCCGCGACCCAAGCCGAGAACCTCTCGCTGGTGGTGCACGGACCCGGCGACCTGCGTCTGGTAAAGCCGAGAGGGGGATGGGAACCCTAGCGGGACCCTGGCACTCGCCCCTCCGGCTCAGTCAGTCCCTGTCCTACCCACTCCCCAGTCCCAGCTCCGCTACAGCCCCGAACCTTGCACGCCCCCCGGGCTCCCCAGACCGGAGCTGGTTTCCACGGCGGGTGGGCGGTGGTCGCTAAAGGCAGAGGTCTGGCGCGTGCCTACCGGACCCAAAGCCCGTGGCGGGCACGTGGCGGGCACCCCGGGCGTGCTGCAGAGTGACTGAAGCCTTCTCCCCACGTTGCCAGTCGCAGGTGCGGGTCCATGGTCTTGTGGCACTTTGCAGAAGAGAGCCCAGAGGGCTGCCTGCATTAGGATCTGCACTGGGGGCTGGGGGGGGAGGGGGGGTGTCCCAAAGGGACGCCTAACAACTGTGTGACTTTTTGGGACCCATAGAAGTTCCCTTGAAGGACTGCGATCAGTCAGGTGCCCGGCACTTAGAAAGTGCTGCTCTCTCTTGCAGCGCAGGCCACCGGCGCCTGAGCTCCGTGTCCCCCTGGCCTGGCCAGCGCTAGCCTCTAGCTAGCATCTTGGAGCTTAAAAGTCTCCAGAGCGCCTTTCCTCCGCAGCTCCACATCAGTGTTGTTTCTCTAACTGCGTTCCTTTGGAGGCTTGCTCTCTTATCCCTCTAACACGGTTATGTAAGTCTCCACCAGGTCTTGAGGGGCCAAGGTTCAGGGAGCTGCAGTCAGCTCATGCCAGGGCTCCTGCCCCTTGACCAAGTCCCTTGCAGAGGGGCCTGTGGGGCAGGGGTCCCTCAACCCTAGC